GCGGGGCTCAGACCTCTCTGTGCCCGTGCCATTCCCGAGAACGTCTTCCGCCCGTTGTCGGTACAGCACCAAACGTGGGCGCTTGTGCACCTGCTTCCCGGAGCGACTGTGCGCCGCCGCGTCAGCCCGTTCTCCCCGCCGCTGGGCCAGCTGGTGCTCTCCCGCCTGCGCCTGGCCCGTCCCTTTCCAATCGCAGTTCCTGCAGTTTCCCCACCCACGGGGTGCGTCACGCCACGACCGCACCTACCTGCAGGCGCGGCGGCGTGAGGCCTCCAAAAGCCTCCCCGGGAGCACAAAAGCTCATGCCAAAAGCTGAATGATTAACTGGCGCGCGGCGGCCTGTTCCCGATGCGGTGTTTGGGACGTCCCCGGGAGCGCTCCTCCGTTCCCGCAGGCCAGGCTGTGGGCACAGTGGGGATGCAGAGCTTTGCTTTGGGAAACTGTCCTTCGGTCTCACTGCCGTTTCCATGGGATGCGCCGCTGATGCTGCGATTTGCAGTTTTGCACTTCAAAAACCAAACCAAAAAAACCCCTGCGGTTGGCATGCAAAAGCAAAGGGTGAGATACGGGGCAGTATCTTGGCAACGGGAGGGCAGGGCATTCGAAGGGATCCCTTCTCCGAGCTGCTCTGTCGGAAAAAACACAGAGAAGGGGTCTAGGAATGGTGCAAATTAAGCCGGATTACAGGTTAACCTGTCATACTCTCACAGCTTTTCCCACTGTAAGCTCCTCTTATGGTCCCTCAGCAGGGAAGATGCCTCCCTCACCAGACCCTGTCCTGGGACAGCCCCACTTGGGCTGCTTGCAGACTGCGAGAGCAGTTGCAGGGGATTTGCATGGTGATTTCTCCCCCATCCCACAGGATATATATGCAGAATATAGAGAAATCTCTGTGTCAGTGTTGATAAGAGCTGCAGAGGAAGGAGTGGGACAGGGAGGGAGGGAGACCGCTACGGCTGGCTTCCCACGTGCAGACAGCACAGCAAGCAGAGAAGGTCCAGGCCATAGAGGCCACCTGCATACAGGAGAAGAGCCATCGCTGGTCACCAGAATTTTGTCTCAGTCTCTGGAAGAACAGACCGCGAGAGCTCAAGAGCAGAATATCTGCTCACCTGCAGACGTCTCAGAAATGCAAGATTCTTAGCAGATGAGTCACAAAGCCTTCTTGCAAGGAAAACGGGTAGCTGCTTCCTTATCACACCTTAGCCAAACAAGGGTGGCAAACGTGGGAAATAGGCTCGCTGAGCTGCAAAAGAGAGCAAGGCAGAGCTTCTCCAGCAGCGCGCCGCACGGGCAGTGACCGCGGTGCACTGCGGGCAGAGGCTCCCGTCCTGCAGCACAGATTTCCCCGGTGCATGGGGAGTAGTGCATCCGCTTCCCAGGCTGCGTTTCCCCCATTCACAGATCCCCAGGCCCTGCGAAGCTTCCCCAGCAGCGCTATCTGCTGCAGGTGGGAAACAACCCGCCACAACAGGATGCAGCAGCTGGGATGGTCCAGCTGTTGACCACAAATTAGTAATCATTTTCTTGGATGCCTTTTTGATCCACCTCAGCAAGAGGCAATCCAGACGGTGCTCGTGGTCTGTAGACAAGGAAGAAATCAGGCCATAAAGGCCAGCTCACTGCAATGAATGCTGGCAACCCTTGATGATAAAACTGTGCATTACTTTTTAGCTGCAGCCTTCCAGGCTCTCCCAGTTTAGACCCCAGTTCCTCCCCAGATCCGTGCTGGAACACTGAACTAGACCACAGGCGACTTCTCCCATCACAGTCTTCAATCTGTCTATCGCAATCTAATGACGCTGACACCTACTGAACACCGTATCTCTGCAGAAACGCATGCAGAGAGAGCCCCAGACCTTCAGAGGAGCAAGATGCAAAAGCCATGCAACTGAAGGTCTGGTTTAAACGGCACAGAGTAGCTGGGATGTTTGTTTGCCAGCGGAGCGCTCTTTGGGGAGCCAAACTCGGGAGCCAGGGTCGCTGGTTCGGCCCGCAGCTGCATGCCCATACAGTCCCTGCGTGACTGTTCAACCCCTCCCCAGGCTGCCGTTGCAGCTGCTCTGTGAAAATCAGTTTATTTGGATTTAGACAGGGACCCAGATTGGATGCTGAGCATTTCCTGGCTGGGCAGAAGGTGCATGCTACATGCCACTGTACTGCCGTGGCAGCAAATGCTCGGATCTCAGCTGCCACCTGACAGTTCGGAAAAAAGGGTCCTAGAGCACCCACGTGGCTCCAGGCTTTACTTCCAGGCTATTTCCAAACTCGTGAGCAGGAGATCTAAGGTAACAAAGCAACTAGCCACTTAAGAGCCTACGTTTTACTGATTTGAGGGTGACATCAGCAGAATATAAAACCTATGGACTATTTTTATTTAAAAGCCTGTTTTATTTAAAAGCGCGGAATTTCAGAAAGATTTGACTTCTACTTAAGATTAGCTATATAATATTAAGTATTTTTTATATATATGTATGAACATATATATATATATATATAAAATATATGTGTGTATGCCTGCATATGTATATCGCTAGCAAAGAAATGGAGCCCAGACTCACACAGAACATTTTGAAATGTCTTTAGCTATGGGTCAACAACAACAAACCCATTGGTCTCTGCCTAGAAATCCTAATTTTTTTGGGCAAAAAGGAGAAAAAAGAAGTTCCCGAGTTTAAGGTTGCCTCAAAGAGCTGCTTTAAATTATTACTGCTAGCTCCATCAGTCAGACTTTACCTTGACTCCATCCTGTCTGCCGAACATCCGCTCCTCTAAGGTGAAGGCCAGGAGCGTATAAAGCTGCCTGTGTGAGCCCACGGGCTGCCTTTGCTCAGGGATTTCCCACTGCCCTCCCCAGCTTTCCAGCTGCCTGGGGTACGCACGAGTCTTGGCCGGGAGCCAAGCAACCGCTAATAACCGAACTGAAGAGTGGCTTTAAAGAGCCTCACTCTTACCAGGTACTTCCTTATTGCACACGACCTTTATGGTTTGGTTCCTGCCGGTGTTTTTGCAGCTGCTCTCACATCCCTCGCTCTGTGTAATGAAAGCTGTTGTTCTCTGCAGCTCTCTCCTGCTCTTCCTCGTCCTTCCATGAAGTGCCTCCTTGGGTTTGCTGCTAGAGCAATTACAAACTCACCTCTCTTTTCTCCTAGTCGCGTTCCCTCTTGTTATTCTCTCTCGTTCTTGTGAACGAGCTCCGCTTCCGGTCAGCCGGTACCTCCTCTCCAGCGACCACGAGAGTCCTGCAGGCACGTCCCAACCAAACCTCCTGTGCTGCAGAGAGGGTCCGCGGCCACAGGCCAACACGTGTATGGTTTCCAACTAAATCATACTAACATAAAGTAATTAACATAATTATATTCATATAATAGGTATATATATACATATTATATACCTAGAATATGTATTAACATAAACAGCAACGTCCCCTCCTGGCTGAGCCAGCCCTGACTGCTGTCCTGAGCTGAACATAGAGCAAGCCCACCACAAAATCATCCATGTGCTATAAAACGGGAAGGAAAGACACTGCCAAGGAGTGCTGCAGAGAGTAATTCTGGGGTTATTTTCATATATCCAGAGCGCTTCTGTTGAGCTGCGAAGCCCTGAAATACCTTTAAGTAAGTTTTCTCCAAAAGACCACATAGCCTGAGCCGCGTGGTGCTCCGTGTCAGCACCTAAGCCAATACCTGCTGA